GGCGGCCCAGGCCGAGTAGAGGCCCAGGCCCGCGCCGACTAGACGCGACGTCGCGCCGCGGCGACGGAAAGCGCTGAAAGGCTGCAAGATGTCCGGCCGCGCTAGCCCCGCTCGCCGCGCCCATTGAGCCCCACAGTGTGCTCTGCGGACACAAGCAGACTGATTCTCCGGACGCGTCCCGCTCAGGAGCAAGAGTGAGCGGGAGAGACGGCAAAGAAAACGCTGTAGTAGAGCAATCAGTCTGCTGGCCGGGTCAACCACGACAGAAAAAAAAACATCTAGCTATCCAAGCCGTGAACGATCCGTCATGCAAATTGTTTGCAGGCGCGCCGGAGGTGACGGAAGGCAGTTGATGCGTTGCATTCAGTCAGAGGCTGTGCTTTTACCTAGAGTCCTAGACCCCACTTTTACCGTCCAGCGCCGTTCCGTCGCCGCCGCAGCGAACGCAACCATTTTCCGAGGCCGATCACCTCCGAGCCGAGCGCGCCGCGGCGACGACGAGCCTGCTGGTCTAGATCGCGACGGCATTGCGAAAGGAGCACTTGCTCGCCGTCTCCGCTACTTTCCTGCTTCCTGCTCTGCATGCCGCCCCCGCTCGGCCCCCGCGGCCCCGCCCCGCCCCGTCCCGCCCCAGCCGGCGGCGCCACGCCTGAGCCACAAACACGTGCAGAAGTGTACAGGTGTGTTGGCCGGGACTGCCGTCGGGATGCTGCGGACCTCGCCGTCGAGGCGAGAGACAGGCGCGGGGCGGGGCGGGGCGGGGCGGGGCGGGGAGGTGTCTGAGGACGTCGGCGAGGTGTCCGGATGGGCGCAGACGGGCGATGCAGAGCGAGCGCGGCGCCGCGACGCCGCTGTCTGGCGTCGTGCCACGGCCTGAGCCGCCACGGCACGGCACGGAACGGCACGCCACGCACTCAACGACCGTTTAACCTCTCATAAGCGGCATCGCCGCAGAGCCCCTGTGCACCAACAGATGGCACAGTGTCCGACGAGTACTGCATGTTTTACCGTCCCGATGGGCTGGGTGAAAGTCATGGAGGTGTGTTAGTATTCCAACAGCAGCGCAAGAAGGGCAATAGACACAAGGAGGGCAGGGACCGAGCGAGCGCAAAGGGCGCGAAGGGTGATGGATGGAAGCCTTGGCGGCCAGTGGCGCCACTGGAGCAGCGGCCTCGGGTACCGGATTACTATCCCCGCGGGTGCAAGGCACTGCAGGGAGTGGCCGAGGGTGCTGTCAAAAAGGACGGTTTGATGGCTCTTTTGACTGCGCCCAGAGACGGTGCCGGTGCCGCTCCACCCGGTGCTCTACCCCGTCTTGTCTGGCCGGCCAGGCCGTGTGGCCAGGCCGATCCCAGAATGTCAAAGGCGAGAGTGGCGAGGCGTGGCGCCCGGTCCCGGCACGGTCCCGGTGGGGTGGCGCCAGGCGCCAACGGGGACGATTCGCCTTGCCGCGCCACTGTGCAGCGTCTCTAGCGTGCAGCGCCGGCTGCGTGGCCCCCGGTGGCGAGGAGCCGAGGCCCCCCACTGCACACTGATTCATTCGCTCTGTCTCTCTCGCACCTGTGACGGACGCCCCGTGAGCACGAGAGAGACAGAGTGACGAAAAGGACTCCCGGAATCAGTGTGCCGGCCGCTGTCCTCGAGGTGCCTTCGAGGTGTCCTGCGGGCCGGCATGGCCGCACCCTGGACCGGGGACAGGACGGCGGCAGGCAGGACGGCACCTCGGCGGGGCCTGGGACGCCACCGCCGCGCCGCGCCACGCCGGCCGGCGTTTGTTTATACTGTACCTCCCGGCAGACACCTTGGTATGCGACAGCCCGGCCCGACAGGCCGTGCGCCATGCGCCACTAACTGAGGCATGCACCTTGTTGGCGCCTCGCGCCTCGGCCAAAGCGCACAAAGCGGCAAACGGCGCGATGCACAGCAGCACAGCCTCGCCGGCCCGCCAGCAGACTGATGCCGAGAGTCGCTTTCGCCGCTCTGTCTCTCTCGCACTCAAGGAGCGTGCCGTATAGGTGCGATAGAGACAGAACTACCAAAACGACTCTCGGAATCCGTCTGCAGCACTGCGTCGCACTGGTTCGCACCCAGCTGTGTCAACCTGCTCGTCTTTTCTCTCTCCCTCAGCGTTCAACCGCCCTGTCGCCCTGTCCCGGTGCAATGCGCGGTGGGTATGGGTGCGAGAGAGACAGCCCGACGGGCCGCTTCGCTCGGAATAAGTCTGGTGGTGCCGGGGGAAAGTGCCCCGCCGCGCTGCGTTCGAGAGTTGGAGATTCGAGATCGAGAGCCCCTTCGCCTTCACGCCCTTTACCTCACACTTGCCGGGGGCCGGCGGCAGTACCAGTGCAGTGACGGGGACGGCAGACTGATTCCGAGTCTCGTTTTCGACGCTGTCTCTCTCGCACCCATGGGGCGTCGCGTGTGGGGCGACAGAAGGGCGTGGCTGGGTGACGCCCTCGGACGACGCGGCGACGCGGCGACGCGGACGCAGCCCGGGGATTAGCTCGTCTGCGAGTCGGGCAGCAACACCTGGGCCGCGACGCCGGCGCCACGCCTCCGCCACCCCTGCCGTGTCGGCCGCGTCCCCGCCAGGGCCGCGGTCCTATTTTGGGGATTACGATATCACGTTCGCCTTGCCACGCCACTGGCGGGGAAGTGATTTCGATTTCATTTTGTGGACAGGAGACTGATTCCGAGGGTCGTTTTCGTCGCTCTGCCTCTTTTCTCCCTCATGAGGCGTCCCGTATAGGTGCGAGAGAGACAGAGCGACGAAAACGACCCTCGGAATCAGTCTGCATGGGCACAGTGTAAGGCCACGGTCAGAGGCCCCCTCGTCGTCTCGCAAATGCGAGCAAACTTCAAACGCCTTGGCCAACGTGTGAGAGAATGGCAGCCGACCGCCGCGCGTGCGTTTTGGCGTTTTGGTTTTACGCGCGCTGCGCCGCGCTGCGCCGCGCTCGGTGTTGGAATTCGCGTGAAATGGGAGGCCAGCCGTTTACTACTGGCCACTGATCACTGTGGTCGTGCCTCACCTCAAGGCGAGTGCGGCGGCAGTGCGGCGGGACCTAAACGCACTGAGAGGTGGAGGTGTGTTCGGGCGGGGCGAGCAGACGCGTACCCGGGATTCGCCTTCATCGAGAGGGCAGGAGGGGTCTGCCGCACTTTTTGACTTTTTGCAAACACGCGGAGTGTACTGCGGGCTGCCTACATCTTGAGGACAATCGCCCCCATGCTCTTCGACGTCGCCCTTCAGGGGGCCGCGGGCACCTTGCACGAACTACAAGAACGCCCTGAACTCCTAGAACCGCCCGTCCTATGCTAGATCTGCGTGACAACACCCCCTGCAGTACGTATACTGATTCCGAGAGTCGTTTTCGTCGTCGCCCGCTGCCTCTCTCGCACCGTGGAACGCCCCACGAGAGCGAGAGAGGCAGGGCGACGAAATCGACTCTCGGAATCAGTCTGCAGGTACGCGCTACGCGGCGTCCGTGTCAGTTGGGTTGCCTACCCTGCGCCTGCCGTGCTCGAACTTGAATAACGTGACAGGCTCCACCACAGTTCATCGAGTGCCATTTCGGGGCCGGCGTGCAAGGGGGTTGCACTGTGGAGGAGGCATACCACGTGGTAGGGCTCTTTCTCGTTCAAAGAGTCGGCGCAGCCTTCGCCGCTCTGTCTCTCTCGCACTCATCGGTGCGTGCCGCGCGTGCCGCGTGGGTGCGACTGAGACAGAGCGCCACCAGCGCCACTGTTCGCTGCTCGCGCTCGACGAGACGGTGAGCGCCAACCGCGGCAAAAAGCGCGGCGCTGGCGGCGGCTATGCCTGCCTGGCTGCCTCGCACTGCCTCGGCGCGTTGCGTCGTCGTGGCTCGGCGGCGGCGGTGTCGCGGCGTCGCGGCGCGGGGCGGAGGAGTGACGGCGAGGGGGAGGGGGGCGTTCGGAGCGGCGGCAGCATCAAGTGTACGCAGGTAGCTTCTCGGTACACAGACGGCGACATACCATTCAACGAGGCGTGGCCGGCAGAGATCCGTGCACCTGTCCGCGCGCTGTCACACGGCCCGTGGCGGGGCGGGGCGGGGCGGGGCGGGGCGGGCGGACAGGTTCCCGGCGGTGTGTTGACGTGAGGCGCACCCGTCCGCGTCGCGAACCTCTGCGGCGGACACACTCGCGGAGACAGACCGGCCACTCTTACTGCATTTAGCAGCGCGCCCGCACTACAGTGTGCACCCCGACGCACTCGAGCGCATTCGGGGCCAAGTCTCTCCTCCGCAAAGTGGCGCCAGGTTACGTCGGGCACGCTCTCTGCACGCAGCGCGGCAGCGCGGTCCCGACAGTGTGTCACACAAATCCCACGCAACGTGAAAATATCTGCATCGGCCGAGTCCATCACCCCGACGCAACGACGGGAAGCGGGGGAAAACGCGACGACGGGTTCCCTGAGTTCAGGTGGTTCAGTTCAGTTTGGTTCACTTGCGTGGCTGGACGGGTGGACGGGCGAACACGGTCGGTCGCGAGGGGTCTACCACTTCTTGCACTCATTGTATACGCGCAGCCAGCCGCATTCTGCGGACTAAGGGCCCCCTGTGTTACCCATCAACCTCACTAAGTAAAAGTGAGAGGCTCATGCTTGACGGAGCCGTTGTTGAACGTCCATCCTTAAACCTAAACCAGCTTGCACTCTCTCCCACTCACTTCGATTTGGGCTGAAAAAACGCCTGTACGTAGGCAAATTGTGAGACAAACGCCTGCAAGTAGGCAAAAAGCACGGCTGAATTGAATGAAAACTCACTTCACTCACACTCAATTGCACATAATTTTAGTGAGTGGCATCGCAGACACGTCTGTCTGTCGCCGAGCTATCTGTTCAGTGGTGTTTTGTCAACCTAACAATGACTACCCACCCTTCAATTCAAACATCTAGGTTTGTCTATCGGCTGGGCTAGGGCTCCGACGGGCCTCGGCAACGAAAACAGGAAAAATGTCCACCAAAACATATAGTTTACCTTTGCCAGCATGAGCGTTGAAAGCCGGGGCAGATTATCTCATACTGCAGCAGGTGATTCGGCTTCGGCGGTGTTATCCAAAACGGGCACACACACTGTTGCACAGCGCTTCAAGGCTGTTGGTCGCGTCACTGCGTGCACACACACATACACACACACACACGTGCTGTCCGCGGGGGTGCCGACGCGAAGCTCGTCTCGCGGACGGACAGTGCAACGCGACGACGCGACGGAGCGTCCTTCCGCGCGGCAGGACCAGCGGCGAGTGAAGTGGCGAGAGGCGCGGTAGTGCGGTGGCGGCGGAGAGTGGAGTGTGAAGACAAGTCCAAGACGAGGAGGCAGTCGGGGCGGAGGAGGAGGAGGGAGAGGCCGGCGGCGCGGCGCACGGCGGCGCGGGGAAGGCAGCGAAGCACCGAAGGCACGAGGCTTCTGCTTCTGCCGCCAGTGCCCCCACCAGCGGGCCGGCGGCGTGGCGGCGCAGCGGCGGCCCCTTCCCTTCCCTTCCCCCCCGCCCCCCGCTCTCGGAAGGGGTGCGTCTCTGTGCCCCGCGGAGGGCAGCCAGGGCCCCCGCGCCGCGCTGCCGCACTCCGGACCGGGGGCCTCGGGCCCCGGGCCTCCGGGCCTCCAGGATGGTGCACGGGGCTGCCTGGCCTCGCCGCGGCCCGGCGCCGGAGTCGCTGCCCACGCCGGAGCCACTGCCCCGCCCCGCCTTGCCGCCCACAGCTGCTGGCGCCGGCCACCCCCCCGCCCCGCCCCCCCGCCCCGCCCCAGCCCCCCCTCGCCGCGGAGGCGCCACGGCGCCACCCCGCGCCAGCGCTAGCCACCCTAGCCAGCGCCCCCGGGGACCGGGGCGGGGGGGCGACACCAGGAGGCACAAGGCGCAGCCAGTCCTGGGCCCCGTCCGCCCTCGGCCGTATGACTTCGTAAAAATTTTGTGGCCCTCGGTATGGCAATACACGAAATGAAATGAGTGGTCATCGGACAGAACAACCTAATTTTCAATGGGTTTCCCATGTGACTTACGTCCTTATGCCCAACGGCCGCTGAAATACTTGAGTGTGCTGATCAACTTTGTTCGATAAGCTGAATTCGATGCAATTGAAAAGTCGATTCCCAACACGTACGGTGTGTGCAACCGGGCTTTTGAACAGGACGACTCTGGCGTTAAGATTTTTGACTTGCCACGATTGCGTTGCCATTGTTTGCAGTGTGTTGAATCAATCGCCAGCTGATCTCCATTATTTTTCCGTAATTACTGGTGAATCCGGCGGAACACCTGCGGTCCTCTCCACCCGTGTAACCAACCAACCGGCGAACGCCAACCACGCCACAGCCACTCCAAGGCGCAGCCGCGGGCTGCGTCCGGGGAGCGCTCTCACTGTGTCTCTCTCGCACTCGGAGGGCGTGCACGATGCGTGCGGGAGAGACAGAGCACCGTTTGGAGCCGCGGCACGCTCAGGTGCCAGGTGTCGGAGTGCCGGCTTTGGCTGGGGCTGGCGCGGCAGCGCGCGGCAGGAGTGATAAGCTTCTGTCCCGGTGGGGCCCTTCCGAAGGCCCTCCTGAATCCTGATGCTGCTAATGGCGAATGACATTCTAGCGACGACCACAATCAGCCTCTGTTTGATTTTCATGACCCCAACTCCAAATTTCCAGATTTGTCGTCAGCGCCGAATCGATGCCGAATTGATCTCGATTCGACCACTCCATTCCGAGACGGAAGTTCGTGTCCCAAATAACACTGGCCATCCCAAGATCCTCCACACACACATAAACACTTCATTTTTATCAGGCAAGTCCTCGACGTCCACCCCACGACCGAAGCACGTGTTGAAGCGAGACGCGGAGCTGGGAGGAAGTTCCGCGAAAGGGATCCCATTCCCCGGACCCAAGGCAGTTACGCGAGTTCTACTGGTTTTTTTCGTAATAAGAACAAAAAAATTATAGTATTAGGACAGCACAGCAGAGTTCGTAACTTGGAGGAAGTTCCTCAATAACTTAGGGGCCGTACACAAACCACGTTGACCATTTTGAGGGAGGGGGGGATGTCCGAAAAATCCACGAAAATCCACGGTGGGGGAGGGGGGTTCATGTCCGGTGCACGTTGACACTTCCGAGTACGTACTAAAAACTGCCCCAGTCCCCAAGCGGGCCGGCGGCGTGGCGGCGCAGCGGCGGCCCCTTCCCTTCCCTTCCCGCCGCCCCGCTCGGAAGGGGTGCGTCTCTGTGCCCCGCGGAGGGCAGCCAGGGCCCGCGCCGCGCTGCCGCACTCCGGACCGGGGTGCCCGGGCCTCCGGGACTCCGGGACCTGGTGCACGGGGCTGCCTGGCCTCGCCGCGGCCCGGCGCCCGGAGTCGCTGTCCACGCCGGAGCCACTGCCCCGCCCCGCCTTGCCGCCCACAGCTGCTGGCGCCGGCCACCACCCCGCCCCGCCCCGCCCCGCCCCGCCCCGCCCAAGCACCCCCTCGCCGCGGAGGCGCCACGGCGCCACGCCGCGCCAGCGCTAGCCAGCGCTAGCCAGCGCCCCCGCGGACCGGGGCGGCGGGGCGACACCACCCGTGTGGAACGCGATCGCAGATTGGGGTCTGAACACCGGATTACTCTGTAATCCGGTGTCTGAACAGTGTCATAATGGCACTACCCCACGACGACGTCAGTACGACCTCAGTCTGACGCCTCTCGTACGCCAGTGTGGCGATCGGGGCTAGTCTTTGTGGTCAGAGTCGGCGTCCAACTGGCGTCGTAATGCCGTCGTGCTGCCGCCGTCTTTGGGTCGCAAAAAAGTTCGTTTTTGGGACGCCAGTCAAAACAAACAGGAGCGGCCGGGGCATACAGGACATGAGCCCCGTCCCGTTTGAGCCCCGATGGTCTGAGCCCCGACCCGAGCCCCAACCTGAGCCCGGATTGAGCCCCGACTTGAGCCCCGACCCAAGCCCCAATTTCCAGAGCCCGGATTGAGCCCCGACCTGAGCCCCGTTTGAGCCCCATTTGAGCCCCACTTGAGCCCCATAACAATAAATTATGCAAAAATGCGTGATTTCAGGTCGCGGGGCTCAAGTGGGGCTCAAGTGGGGCTCAAACGGGGCTCAAACGGGGCTCAGGTCGGGTCTCAATCCGGGCTCTGGAAATTGGGGCTTGGGTCGGGGCTCAAGTCGGGGCTCAACCCGGGCTCAGGTTGGGGCTCAGGTCGGGGCTCAGACCATCGGGGCTCAAACGGGACGGGGCTCATGTCCTGTATGCCGCGGCCGGGCGTGAGTCGAACCCAGAACTCTCACGTCGAATGTCGGTGCCCGAACCCGCTGGGCCAGAGCGATTTCGTTGAAGGCGGCGGGACCGCTGACCTAGTCTACTTGACTCGACCCACCATGGCACGGGCGACAGAGTGTCTCTTTTGCTATGTTTCTTTCGCCACGAGCAACTGCAGATAGCCGACGGCCAACAGATTTACAATGCATGACAACTAGGTTAAACGTGTATTTGATGTCGGTTCATCTCGTGCGGCGCATGTGATGGCTGGAAAGAAAAAGATGGAAGCTCTGTCGCCCGTGCCATGGTGGGTCGAGTCAAGTAGACTAGGTCAGCGGTCCCGCCGCCCTCAACGAAGTCGCTCTGGCCCAGCGGGTTCGGGCACCAACATTCGACGTGAGAGTTCTGGGTCCGACTCACGCCCGGCCGCTTCTGTTTGTTTTGTCGGTCACCCAGCACTTTTCGCGCTGAAAAAGCGACGTCGTACTGGTGTCCGACTGGCGTCCCAAAAACGAACTTTTTTGCGACCCAAAGACGGCGGCAGCACGACGGCATTACGACGCCAGTTGGACGCCGACTCTGACCACAAAGACTAGCCCCGATCGCCACGCTGGCGTACGAGAGGCGTCAGACTGAGGTCGTACTGACGTCGTCGTGGGGTAGTGCCATTATGACACTGTTCAGACCCCAATCTGCGATTGCGTTCCACACGGGCAGGAGGCACAAGGCATGCACAGCCAGTCCTCGGCCCCGTCCGCCCTCGGCCGTATGGCTTCGTAGAAATTTTGTGGCCCTCGGTATGCCAATACACGAAATGAAAAATACTTGAGTGTGCTGATCAACTAACTTTGTTCGATAAGCTGAATTCGATGCACAGCACATAGTAGTTGCAATTGAAAAGTCGATTCCCAACACGTATGTGTACTACGGTGTGTGCAACCGGGCTTTTGAACAGGACAACTCTGGCGTTAAGAGTTTTTACGCCCCAGGGGCATTTTTGACTTGACACGATTGCGTTGCCATTGTTTGCAGTGTGTTGAATCAATCGCCAGCTGATCTCCATTATTTTTCCGTAATTACTGGTGAATCCGGCGGAACACCTGCGGTCCTCTCCACCCGTGTAACCAACCAACCGGCGAACGCCAACCACGCCACAGCCACTCCAAGGCGCAGCCGCGGGCTGCGTCCGGGGAGCGCTCTCACTGTGTCTCTCTCGCACTCGGAGGGCGTGCACGATGCGTGCGAGAGAGACAGAGCACCGTTTGGAGCCGCGGCACGCTCAGGTGCCAGGTGTCGGAGTGCCGGCTTTGGCTGGGGCTGGCGCGGCAGCGCGCGGCAGGAGTGATAAGCTTCTGTCCCGGTGGGGCCCTTCCGAAGGCCCTCCTGAATCCTGATGCTGCTAATGGCGATAGACATTCTAGCGACGATCACAATCAGTCTCTGTTTGATTTTCATGACCCCAACTCCAAATTTCCAGATTTGTCGTCAGCGCCGAATCGATGCTGAATTGATCTCGATTCGACCACTCCATTCCGAGACGGAAGTTCGTGTCCCAAATAACACTGGCCATCCCAAGATCCTCCACACACACATAAACACTTCATTTTTATCAGGCAAGTCCTCGACGTCCACCCCACGACCGAAGCACGTGTTGAAGCGAGACGCGGAGCTGGGAGGAAGTTCCGCGAATGGGATCCAATTCCACGGACCCAAGGCAGTTACGCGAGTTCTACTGAGTCTTTTCTTCGTAATAAGAACAAAAAGATTATAGTATTAGGACAGCACAGCAGAGTTCGTAACTTGTGGAGGAAGTTCCTCAATAACTTACATGACCACTTCATAATTACGAGTAAATTTCCGAGGATTATGATGCTTTTGTATTGTGCAGTGCTAAGAAATAGCTCAGCATTTTGACTGCTCAGCATTTTTCAGTAGAAAATTCAGCGGAACCTAAGTATTGAACTTGGACTACGAAGAGTCAAAATTCAAAGCAAATCACCCTTCTCGACGTCGATACGGGTGAAATAATTTCTGACGGTTTTGCACGAATTAAAACACATAGGTACTTGAGCTCCCCGTGGCGCACCGCTTT